TATATTCGCATTCTTTTATATCTTTCCTTAGTATTTCGATTAAGTTATAATTACTTTAAGTAAACAATAAAATGCAATGACAATGAATAATTAACTAAACAGTAGTCAAGTTTGGTCTTTGCCTTATCTGTATTAACTGTTGAAGCGTAATTCGTTCAAGTTTAATTTCATGGTATTTGGGTCTGGAATGTTAGCCTGTTAAGTGTTTTATATCCTTACTTTAACCCTTTTTTCGAATCAACTACTATAATAATACTAAACCACATGAAAATTAGTATCCTTCCATACTGTTTTTTATGGTATAAGGAGGTAAACTAACAGACGGGTCACCTGATGGTAAGTAACTACTGCCGCCCATGGACAAATGCAACTCAAAAGTCACAAGTGCGTTGTCGCCCTTGTAGTCACTACCGCTCGAGTCAGCGGGCTCCGGTAACCTCACTCACTCAGAGAAAAGTAACACTTAACAGCGGTTTTCTGTGAGGCCGTGATATCACTCCGGTCGAGCCGGCCCATGCGTGCTACAGCATGGCTCTTCCACGGTTAAAAACAATAATACTCATTTATATATTTTATATGTCAAAGTAAATTTGTTAGTTTGTTACTCTGACACGCCTAAACCACTAAACCGATTTTATATTTATATTATTAGCGAGTAACATAGGCTACTTTTTATAGCGATAACCGACATACACAAGGGCGGGGCCGCCGACAAAAGCTAGTGCAAAGGTCTTATTACGGTACACTCAAAAATTAACTAATTTGAACTAAATTGAACTGAGTACCTAAATTGTTTCATAAGTGTTTATATAAGGTTCTGTTCCCTGGATGGAGTAAAGTATCACGCAAATCTTTTAACACTTAACGAAATATGGTGGTGACAACGTTCATATATATAAAATCTGAAGTTAAATAATATACATAAAAACAGTACAGTTTTATAGAGCGAAACCATTTTACCATGGCGGAATGGCTCAAGTTTGCTCGTAGTACTCGAAATGTCTTTATGATTCCCTCAGACATCGTAAATTGATATTTATTCTGAAACCTTCTCCGCAACTTTGCACTCACTTAGTACAAGAATAGTTTGAAAAATACCTAGTGTATCCATGTAGTTTTCAAGATACATGGTTTTACACGGTGTTCGTAAAGCCTTTGTTAAAACTTTGTTTAACTTAATGGTACAATATTTTACGAGGTGCTGTGATGTTTGGAATCTCAAGTACTTTTTACCAAGGTTTGTAAACCAGTCTTCCAACTTCTGTATAATCAATTCGTATTTTATAACTGTAGTTTTGATTTAGAAGTACATTTAAATATTTATTTAAAATTTGAATATTCGAAATTGATTTCTAATAGGCTAAATGTTAAGTTCAAATTATAATAAAAAAAAATATATATATATATATAAAATCTGGCATCGAATTCTTACCGAGTGTGTTAGATTACCAAAGGTCTAAGTTAAGTAAGCCCGTGATAGTTTCGCATTGATTAGCGTCACAGTTAAGATATAAAGGATATAATAATAATAATGAATTTATTTGCAATGGTATATAACTGTAATGAAACTATGTATTTTGGTGACATCCTTCGATCAAATAAACTATTATACAATAACTTTATTTACTCTTATTACTCTATTACTCTATTACTTATTACTCTTCATGTTAGTAAATTGTTTTAGTAATTATAGTGTTTTATTAATCGTGTGTCAGCTAACATTTTTTTTTGTTTTTTTTTTCTAAAAAAGACAACTCCCGCATTAGGAATATATCCTGTGTCGCGGGGGACTTGACAAACATACATGAAACGGACACGAAGAACACCCAGACTCAGAACAACAATTTGTGGATCACACAAAGTGTCGTCCCATGTGGGGTCAGCGTGGTATACTAGGCCAAATCCTTCTTTCTAAGGAGAGGCCTATGTCCAGCAGTGGACTAGTAATGGCTGTTGATGATGATGATAAAGGAAATTATTTGGTTGTTGTTGTTGAGGTGTCATACATAGATGTAATAAAACAATGTGCTAACATAATAGTACAAAAGATGTTACATTACATAGTGTGCAAATATTTAATTTAAAGGTTAAAATAATAAAAACATAAACAACGAAATACAATTTGAGTTTGTAGTTATAAGTTAATAAAATGCATTTCTAAAGTGAAAAGACCGACCAATTTTTTTTTAAGAACTCGTTAACAGAATAAAATCTCTAATCAATTGGCCAATTCCTTAGTTCATGTGGTAAATTAACATTTTTTTTCTGGTAATGCGTTGTAAATAAGTGGTGCTAAGTACTTTTTTTTTAGGGTATAAGGGGGCAAACGAGCAGAGGGGTCACCTGATGGTAAGCAACTTAACTGAGACACAGACACTGACACCTGCAACTCAATAGTCACAATACAGCTTGCTCTGAACTTCTCTAAATGAGGTAGGTATACCGAAAAGAATTCACAACAATCGATAGGACGCAGTGGCAGTTCATAAGGTGACCTTCGAAACATCTAAATTATGTTATCAAATACTTATAATGGCTTTTATTTCATGAAAAGCTTTGGCTAGTTTTGCATAACACGACCATTCAATAATTCCCATAGCCCCCAAATATGTATATAATAATAAAACTTATAAATTGTTGAATACATTGTATAGGCAAATATTTCGGTCGTCCCAAAACTGACTTACTGTTTGACACAATATTGTATAAATATCAATAATTCAAGGTATTTTGTAAGAAAAATATTTTCAGATACGTGCACTTTGAACACAGCTTCTATCTATTTGGCAAGAAGTCGAGTTTTCAATAGCGCCGTCTGCCGAAGGAAATGAGATTTTTACTACGGTAGTAATAACTTGATCAAATCTGGGACACGATTCTACCAGGTCGAAGCTTCGAAATCATATTAGAAGGCGTTTCTTTCAATTTTATTATTAGATTTTACGACAATTTTCATTTTCATTTGACAATAAAATGTCCAGTCATAAATATTGCTGACGGTTGTCTATTTAAGTCGTTAAAGCATTGTCTGTCAGCATTACGTGTGCCGAATGAAAATGTATTTATATACGAGATCAGATCGAGTTTTTCAATATATTCTACATGCGTCCTCTGAAAAAAATCCTGATCAAAAATCGGAATGATTTTTTCATCAATCATATAAACTAGATCTTATATAATCTATATGTAGGCAGCTAAGATTTATTCGCTATATTAAGATTGTACTTTGTTTGGGTCTAGTGGCTCATTAAAAGCCATTAATAGTCCACTACTGGACATAGGCCTCTCCTTAGAAATGTGGTTTTGACCTACTTACTATACCACGCTCTCCAGACGAGTTGTGTCCATAGGGTTTGTGTCAAGTTTTCCTTCGTTTTTCAGTACTGTTGTTCTACGTAATTTACTCCGTTAGTCGGCTCTTTCGACATCCACGGGTTCAATAGGGGTTGTGACATTCCGTATTCTTTCCCCATCACCAGTGGTTCATCCACGGTCTAGTGGTTGGTGATCCTGATTGCTGAACCAGAGGTCGTGGGTCATTTTGCCACTGAGATCAAATAATTGGCAAATGAGCGCATTCATTTGTTTTATTTGTAATATATAACTACATATTTATCAGCAATCTAGTTACCATACTTTAGGCGCCACCTAAAATTGTAATAGCAGGTTTGGTTTTCGTACTGCAAACTTTTACTGCTATTAAGGCCTACTGGCCTGGCTGAACTAAGCAATTAATTAACAAGTATCTAAAACATAAATAATTAACATTAAAAAGTAAAAACTCACTTTTGAATCGCAAGCATTTGAAATCATTTTTATGTAAAACCTAAAGTAACGTGGAAATTTTTTTGAATACGGGTTCGTAATAATCGTATTCAAAAAATGTTCTACGTCATTCCTTCAACCCTGATTAAGTTTGTAGGCGATTTCAGGAAAATTTTGCCAAAACAGTTTCTTATCTTATGATACTTTGGGGGCATGAAAGTTCAAGTAAAAGGTAACGCTGGTTCTTTTTTACTTTATCAATAAAGCTGAGATATTTTGAACTTCCTACCTTTCGGTAATATTTTTACAAATATTTAGAAACCACAAATCTAATAGTCAAAATTTCGTCATTCTAAAAACCTATTTTCATTTTAGGCACTACTTAATCCTTGATATTTATGTCCAATGGTAGTGATTTTAAAGATTAACGAGGTATTGAGGCTTAATTGTCTATAAATCATTCATATTACTAATTTTAATATTAAGTCGATTATGCATTTTATCTCCGCCTTTATCAATACAGCTGAAAAGTAGCCCAAAGGCTATATATACATTCTACCACATTCACACAACACCATCCAGTCCCAAACTATGCAGAGCTTGTACTATTAGTATTTAGACAATTGATTTATATACATATACTGGCTTGTTGGTCTAGTGGTTAGTGACCCTGACTGCTACGCCAGAGGTCGTGGGTTCGATTCCCACCCAGGACAAATAATTGTGTGATGAGCGCGGTCATTTGTTCTGTGTCTGGGTGTACTATATCTATAATATGTATGTATTTAGAAATATATGTGTATGTCTATCAGCAGTCTGGTTACCATAGTACAGGCTCTGCCTAGTTTGGGATCAGACGGCCGTGTGTGAAATGTGTGAAAATATTATTAAAAAAATATATATTTATATTTTTTTTTATATATACATACATATTATACATAGAAACACTTAGACCAAATCAAACAATAAATGTTCGTGCACACAAATGTTTGACTTGAGCGGCAATCGTAGCTTTTGGCGTAGCAGTCCGTAACAAAAACTACTACGCCATCGAGCCATATGACCCAAAATAAAAAAAAAAAAGTAGTACACCACAGAATGATTTATGAATGTAAATGTCAACAATCAACCTTCAAATAAAAGAGACTTTTTGGTATATTTCTAGGAATAAGGTTCTTTAAATATACTAACTATGTCACTTACTAATATAATCTTATGAAATATATAGTCATGTACTACAAACACGTACCTGTGATCATTTGGCTGGCAGTAGTCAGAAGTTTCACATCATTATCAGCGTCTTGAGTTTCAAGCCTAACCGTAACGTTAAGTGGGTCTAGATTTGTATCGCCGGCTCTCCCATGAAGAGTCACGAGAATTGCCGTAGTTTTTCCGGGTACTGCTACTTCAGGTGCCACAACCGAGAAACCACTGTAAATAAAGAAAAGATTTTGTAAAGCATATTGAGCTATGTGAGGTTATTAATGATCACGCAATATTTTTAAGTGTTTCATACATATTATAGATGTTTCATGCATATTATAGATAAAGTACACCCAGACACAGAACAAATGATCGTGCTCACAATTATTTGTCCTGGGCGTTAATCGAACTCACGACCCCTGGCGTAGCAGTCAGGGTCACACCACTTGACCAACAGGGCAGTCAATAATGAATGGCCAGTTAAAAATGAAAATAATGGATTTACACAAGGATTTATTTTGAACAGTAAATAAATACGAAATATATAATCTCGGAACGGAGCTTGCAGACGTAGTAGTGTAGCAGCAGTAAGTGAATTTTATTGACGCGCAAGTCAAACATGCAGCAACGTAGGTCAATAAAATTCAATTCTAAGGATAGGGAAATATTGAAAACTCTCCAAACCAAAGTCTGCAATGCGACAAATGGCGTGGACACGTTCGAATTATTGTATTTTCCTACGTGTGCATGGAATACTGAATTTTGTTTGATGAAACTATTCGCTCTACATCCTGGTTGAGCGCAAGAACGCGCCTACAAGTGTTTGAATTTTTGATACTTTATAGTTTATTCAGTTTTAAACTACTTTTAGATATATTTTTACTGATTTACAATCGATTAGATTTTATATTTGTTATTTCTATCTCCATCATTATATACCGATTTAAAATTTTATTTAATCATTATTTAATCGTAATGCAGGTATATTGAAGTCAATGATACTTCTTTTAAAGTAAATTATTCTATTACAAACATTTGCAATCTCTAGCTCCTTACGGACTTGCTGGATAGGTCTGTGACCATATTGGTATTGGTATTGGTTGTGGGCTTCGGTTTCCGCATTTAGACTCAGAGTGGTCCTTTATGCGTCGAGGATTGGTTGACTAGGTGAGCCAACCAAGCTCCTTCCAGAAGCGCAGAAGCCTCCTGGGGCGTTCACAGGCTTCTAGGAGCGACTTTATATCAGGAATGATACTTGCCCGTTGTGTGGCCACTCCCTCGCATTCCAGGACTACGTGGGCGGCCGTTTTTTTCAGCTTCCAGACATCCCCTGCACAGGGGACTGTCCGTCGCATTTATTTTATTTTATTTATTTTATTTATTTATTTGGTCAGCCAACGATTATTACACTAAACATTACAGAATTGACTTAAAGACTAAACATGTGTGAGTGCAATAATCACTTACAGGCTAACACCACATGCACTTAAAGTAACGGTTTTACACATTGAGTTAAAAAGTATTATATCAATGGTTTTACAAGTTTAAAATAAATAGGATATAGGTAAATTATTAATTTAACATGATTAAAACAAGCATAACAACAAAACAACCATTAATTAATTAGCAATTAAATTAAATTAAATTAATTCCGTTTTTTTGTAAGGAAAGAAAATATTAAAATAACAATTCAGATGAAGTTCAATAAAATAATTTACAATTCATTCAAAGTGATTGTACTTGAGTTATTCCAGTGAGTACTACACCAATAATATTATGCATTAAAACATTTAAAAAGTTTAAATTATGTAACAAGTTAGGATTAAATAAAATAAAAATTGTAATAGTTGTATTGTGTGTCATATAAATAAATAAAAACATATAATAAAATAAATAGAAATTTCACAAATTCAACTTGAGACAAAAATCAAAATTAAAATCAAGATTATAATAAAAATTTGTTAATTCTGAATCAAACTCACACTATAACAAAAGAGTGCTATAACCAGATAAGGTTATTATTTGTTTTGATAAAGAATAACATTACAGCTCGGTCAACAATACAATGCAGTCATTCATTTTTTTGTGTGAACTGGTTGATGATGCACTTATAAAACTTACTAATGCTATCATGGTGTAAATCAATCAAATCACTGCAGCCATTCAAAATTCTGCATAATCTGGGTATAAGTGAGTTAGTGCCTGACATTGTTCTCCTTAATGGTGGACACAGCGGTGTAATACTGTTTCGAGGATATCTAGACGGAGCCCTGAACCTTACAAGACTCAGTAAATCTGGACAATCGATTAGGTTTCTCACGATTTTAAATAAATATAATGCATCAAACACGTCTCTGCGCACCGACAGTGGGTGCATCCTAAAATACTGCAATCGGTTGCTATACGTGGTCAGATGTTTACCTTTGCCTGAAGATAATGTAAGGTATGACAGAAAGCGCTTTTGAACGCGCTCTATGCGTAACGTGTGCACGGCATAGTGGGGTCTCCACACAACACAACAGTATTCCAAGATACTCCTCACGAGACTATTGTATAACATAATTTTTGTGTTGCTTTTGAACTCTCTAGTATTCCTCATAACAAAGCCTAACATTTTAGACGCTCTTTTAACTATATTATCGATCTGAGGTACAAAAGTAACTTTACTATCGAAAAGTACGCCAAGATCTTTAATAGTTTTCACTTCCTGTATCTTTAGGTTATTAATAAAGTATTCTGACTTAAGGGGGTGAGCTCTCCTAGTGAATTTTAGGTGATAACATTTTTCCGTGTTTAGTTGCATTTTGTTATACCTACACCAATTAATGAGTCTGTTTAGATCGTCTTGCAGAAGTTCGGTATCACTAGGGCAATCAATTCTTCTGGCAAACTTTAAGTCATCGGCGTAGAGAAAACACTCAGAAAATTGAAAACAGTTAGGGATGTCGTTAATAAATAAGTTAAAAAGTATGGGAGCCAGATGTGAACCTTGAGGGGCTCCAGAAGTTATGCCACGACCTGTAGATTGAAAACCGTTCACAACAACAAAGAATTCTCTCCCCGTCAGGTACGATTTTATCCATTCGAGCAAGGGTCCTGTGATACCATAAGCTGACAGTTTATGTAACAGTATCTTATGCGAGATCTTGTCGAATGCCTTGCTAAAATCAGTATAAATGACGTCATACTGTTTATTTACATCCATAGCCTGCACCAGCGATTCCGTAAACGTTGATAGGTTAGTGGCTGTGGACCTTGACGCAACGAAACCATGCTGTCGATCACTAATGTACAGTCTCAGATGTCGCTGGATGGAAGGACATACCATAGCCTCAAAGATTTTAGCAAAGGTCGACAGAATAGAAATAGGCCTATAATTAGATATTGCCTCTCTTTTATTCGACTTATATACTGGCACTACTTTGGCTTTTTTCCACTCTCGTGGGAACGTGCCTGTACACAGCGAAGTGTTATATATACGTAGAAGCGGGGAAGTCAGGGCAGATGCACAGGCAGATATGAAAATCGGTGGGATACCATCAGGACCCGGCCCTTTTCTAATATTAACAGTTTGCAGTTTCTTAAGTAAGCTGTCATAGTCAAAAGTTGGGTAGGTTAAGGACAGGCTGTTACTATTCAAAGAGTTCAAAAATTCAGATTCGCAGTTAAACTCTTCGTCGTCGTCTTGAGTATAAACAGATGAAAAATAATTCGCAAAAAGATCACAGATGGTTGGACCATCGGATGTTGTACTCTTTCCATCGGTCATAGACAACGGGTATACACTGGATCCTCCACGTTTTGCTTTTACGTGCGTCCAAAAGAGCTTAGGATTATCCTTGATTTTGCCTTCCATATCTTTCATATAACTGGAATACAGAGTTTTAGCAAGGATTTGACATCTCGTAGTAATTAGCTTTAGTTCTATTCCATCTCTTGGGTTTTTATATTTCTTGAAGCGTACTCTAATTCTATTTTTTTCCTTAAGAGCTCTGATAATGTTCTTATTAAACCATGGGGGAAAAGGGCTGTTTAATGGTTTACAGAATGGCACATATTCATAAATGGCCGTATTTAAAGTTTTGTAAAAAATCTTTAACATGTCATTCACATCTCTTTCTGGAGCGAGTAGTTGATACCAGTTTTGATTATTTAAGTAATTGTTAATTTTCTCATAGTCCGCTTTAAAGAAGTTCGGTCTCTTACTTAATTTATTATAAGAGAGATAATTTTGTTTTGACAAAAATATAGTTACATCTAAAGGGGGATGTAGTTTGTCGACAACAGTGAAGGGGGAGTTAGATTCATCCACTGAACAAGAATGTACTGTCGACAGAACTAGGTCCAAAATACGTCCCGAACAATTTTTTATTTTATTGTATTGGATAAGTTTATTCGTGTTTGCAAAATCTAATAATCGCTCGCACACATTCGGCAGAGAAACGTTATTGGCACCTATCTGCCAGTCTATCTTAGCCAAATTAAAATCCCCGATTATACAAACAGGCATGGTTGTGGTATCAAATACATTATTACAATGCTCAATAAAATGGTCAAGTCTTGATACACATAGTGGTGGTGGCAGGTAAACTGCACAAAGAGCCATTTGACGTGAAGTATTATTGGAAAGATCGATTGTGACCCAAAGATCTTCACAACTACTTTGCCACATATCCATACGACGAGAGTTAATTTTTTTTGAAACAGCAATAAGCACTCCGCCTCCGTTTTTTTTACTTTCGAACCCTGTAGTTTCCCGGTCTCTTCGATACACAACATATCTCTCGTCAAATAGCTCCTCGTTAAGTATACCACTGTTTAACCAAGTTTCTGTCAAGATAATCACATCATAGTTCGCACAACATAAGCCACAATAAAAGTCATTGGTTTTAGTTCGAAGACCTCTACAATTTTGATAATATAATTTTAAGTTAATGAATTTTAGTAATAATAATTCATAATCATGCATAATATATTAAGATATTAAATATATTAAAAATTAGATAATTTTGTTCAGACTATTATTGTTCCTAATTAATATATAATCCGAACCTTCAGTTTTTCTGACAAATATTCTGCCATTTCTGACCCACACATACTTGTAGTTCTTTTGTTTTGCCTTAATCCTTGTGGCTGCGTGGAGGGCCTTGTTACTCGGTGAGAGGTGTTCAACCACGTATATTGGAGTCCTGCGCCCACTGATTCCCAGGTGTTCGCAATTGAGTTTATTATGGGGGTTATCTCTGTTATATTTCATCGTTGATGCTAAAAGTTGATCCCTTAACTTTGGTGATGCGAGTTGGATAATTATAGACCTTGGGCGGGTACTGGACGGGTTCACCTTAGCAATCCGAGTGCAATGCAGTATTTCTTTTTCTTTAATTTCGCAGCTAACTACTTGTCCAAGATCGTTAATAATGTTGTAGATATTTTCGTTTTTATTTTCAGGCATGTTTTGTATTTCTATATTATTCGATCTAGATTGCTGTTCTAGTTGATTAAGGCGCGCAAGTAATTCTCCAACCGTGTTTTTCAACTCTTTATTTTCAGATTCAAGGTTTTTGATGACTTCAACAGTAAATTGTTGACTTTTCTCGAAGGCTTCAAATCTGTCATTCATGAATGACATTGATGCCACTACTTCTTGAATTTCTTTTCTAATAGGTTCCATTTCTTGATTTATTGTGCTGACTACTGTTTTGTTGAATTGTGTCAAAATTAGATTGAATTCTGTTTTTATTATATCTCGGATCATAGTCCGTATCTCATCCTTGTTACTTGCTATTGGTGGCGGCGATGGTGAGCCAATAGCGACTCTTTTGTTGCCTCTGTTCATCTGCACGTTACGTATAGGAGTTGAGTCCTTCCTATTAACTTTAGGAGCGCAACTTAAACATGTGGGACATTTCCAAGATTTGTTTGGAGATTCCGTGACAGATAAACATGCGTAGTGATAAGATTTCCCGCAACTGGTGCATTTAATGAATTTTTCATCTACCAAATTTTCATCAGTTTCATTATCCTTCGCGCAACAACCCCATTCAACATATTTCGTGGCCATAATGGGAAAATTCAAAAATCAACAACCCAAACAAAAAACTGCCTCATAGAGGAAATAAGCGTAGGTATAATATGTTGCGCTGTCTGCGTTACTAATCACCGCTACGAGTGATAGTGTATGCCACAGAGCGTGAGCGCATGCAGTAATGGTTCTTATGCGCACCGCTTAACCGTGCGGGTTGTGTGTACAGCACGTAAAAACTGATTGTCAAAACACTCACCGGTAAATCAGTTGAGATTTTAAAACTTAACGGTTTACACTAAAAATTTGCTGCTATAATACACTTTTCTTTATTTTAATTATGTATTTCACTTCCTCACATGGTAGTTGTCACTTTATACTAGTATTTGTTGCTGTATTTGTTCATTTGTAGCTAAGAATGATAAATTTAACTATGAGTAAGTTCACACACTATGTTAACCGTTGGACCGCTGGGGCAAAGATGCATTGATTATGAATAGTTGTCGGTTCAGGGCTAGATGTCCTGTAATAGTTCCGACAACCATTCTGAGTTCCGGTCTGCTAAGACTGATCAGTCTGCAGGTGAGTCGTGGTGTGACTTGATTCAGCACCAGTTTGGACTGTCTGCAGCCGGGTGAGTTTTTCCACCTCCGGTTGTGTGCTTCACAGGTCCGTTGCCTGACCCAGCATCGTATTTGGTTAAACGATATGGGCAGGAGTGGTGTTGGGCCAGAGGTTGGGGTTGCCGAGCCCCTCCTTGCCAACTCATCTGCGGCATCCGTGTGAGTTACTGTGCCCTTTAATCCATTGGAGGAGTACCCCATTGAATATAGCGAGCTGTTCCAGTGCTTGGTGGCATTCGAAGACAATACCAGAGGTCATTGTGTTGCCCTCCAGTGCCTTTAAGACGGCCATGCTGTCGGATATTATTCGGATGTTGTAATCCTTGATACCCCTTGACATGGCCGTTGTGGCAGCGTAAGTTATTGCCACACATTCACATTGAAATATGGAACTGTGTTGGCCTAACGCTAGTGATATGTTTATATTTAGGTCTTGCGAGAAAACTCCGGCTCCAGTTCCTGACCTAGTATTGGAACCGTCCGTGTAAATTCGGACTTCGTTAATGTTTTTTCATGTATCTGGATGTAGTATCTTCTTGTGAAGATATGGTGTTCTGGGATTCTATTCGCTTTCAGTGGTTCGTATTCCACCAATTGATCCCATAATTTGGAGTGCGATCCCTCACTTTTGTGCCATAGACCCAGGTGTTTGAGTCTAATGATCGCCATGGCGGCCTCCTGCTGTATGAATAGATCCAGGGGTGGCAGACCAAGAGCCACCTCCAGTGCGGCAGTAGGCGTTGTGCGCATACAGCCAGTGACCGCGGAACATGGAAGTCGCTGGAATTGCTGCAGTTTGTTTATGACGGTGCTAAGCTCTGTTCTCTGCCACCAGACAACAGCACCGTAAGTGATTATTGGTCTTATGACTGTCCTGTATAGCCATAAAGTGATTTTGGGTGATAGTCCCCAGCTTTTGCCGAGTAGCCGCTTGCATTGGCAGAAAATAATGCAGGCTTTATTCAGTTTTTCATCGAGGTGCTTATTCCACAGGAGTTTACTGTCCAGTATTACTCCTAGGTATTTGACCTCTTTGGTAAGAGTAAGTTGTGTTCCAAATAGCTTGGGAAGTCTGAGATTTCCTAGGCTGCGTTTGTTTGTGAACATAGTCAGTGCAATCTTGTTAATAACTTAGGCGATTTAGAGGTACGTTACACCTTTTTTTTGTTGTGTTGTTTGTTTCATGTTTATTTCGTATTTATTTGCCTGTGTTATGATGTTCTTTCTTTCTTTCTTTAAAAAAGACCACTCCCGCATTAAGAATATATCCTGTGTCGCGGGGGACTTTACAAACATACATGAAACGGACACAAAGAACACCCAGACTCAGAACAACAATTTGTGGATCACACAAAGTGTCGTCCCATGTGAGGTTGGAACTCACAACACTCGGCGCAGTAGGAAGTGGCGTGGCGACCGCTTAAACCACTGCGCCATCCGTTATATAAAATGTGTAGTTATTAGTGTGTTTTTTTTTACCGATAGGTGGTATCCGAGGGGATTTCCGCACGGAAAAAAAAAGGTACGTTACACCTATTACGTGACTACGTTGATACCCGTATATTTACTGTATTATATATTATAACTTAAATTTATTACTCTAATTTGTAATTACTAGTACACAAAGTCTTCCACATTTTATATAACATCATAACACATTCAAATAAATAAGTAATAAACATAGTTAGGAAACGAAAATGGTGTCTTGTTGGTATTTTTTTATTTACTGGACAAATGGCTCCATAATGTCTACATTTGATAAGGGTTACAGTCGATATGTCGTTCACATGGGATGTAGTTTTCATCCTTAGAGACACACTTTTTTATATCCCAAATACAAATATAACATAAAACATTAGGATATATTTTGATACTACTGGTATTTAAATTGTATTTTATTGACACGAAAGTGGGTAAGGGTATCTTAACGAGACAGTGGCCTGGCATGTTGCTCTATTAGTGGTTAGTGACCCTGACTGCTAAGCCAGAGGTTGTGGGTTCGATTCCCACCCAGGACAAATACGTGTGTTTTAAGTACTACTGATGAGCATAATTTGTCTATGATATGACATGTATGTATTTAGAAATATAATAACATAATAATAACCCGTCACACATTTAAGAAAAGGCCGTCTGGCGTCCCGAACTAGGCAGAGCGTGAGCTATGGTAAACAGACTGCTGATAAACATACTTATATATTTCTAAATACATACATATTATAGATAAATTACACCCAGACATATAACAAATAATCGTGCTTATCACACAAATATTTGTCCTGAGTGGGAATCGAATATAGCAGTCAGGGTAAAATACCACGATACCAACAGGAATGTATAATATATATGTATTTATAAAAAAGATATATAAGTATCAAATAATCTAATTCTTACTGGTATGTATAGCAAATCGTGTTAAATGAACCTTTAAGCCTCGGAAACGAAGTAGACACAAACTCTAGTGCGGGTGAAACTTATTTCAGAACTAGTGTACCGTGGTTTCCTCGACAAGTTGCCTAGTTTATTTGTGCACTCGCTTTGCAGACGTGTGACGCTTTAGCTTAGAACAAAGCTTTTGAGAGAAGTTTTGTTTAATTTTTAGGGATAAATGAATTAAGTTCTTTCAATTGCAAAGGAGATTTTGCATATAGAAATTTTGGTTATCTTATTTGAAAAAAGAATTGAAGTCGATAAACAAGAAAAACTATACTTCTTGTGTGTGGTGACCGATTAAGAAGGAGTGTTACCACTTTTTTTTTTTTTTTTTTTCCGTGCGGAAATCCCCTCGGATACCACCTGTCGGTGGCATGTCGGACACGAACCGACTAAAACCGCACGCCTTCGCCGGGTACTAATAGCCGGGGAACCAGGTATACCCTAGAAAGGAAGTCCCTGGTGCCCCGACATACCTCGGGTCATCTACAGACGAGTAGACGACCCCCCCCCGTGTGGGAACCCCATGTTTCCTGTGCTCCCTGGAAGCGAGCGCGCTTCGCAACGCGCTCGCCGTCACCCCGGCCTGCTTCTGCTAGGGTGACAGATGGCCTCACCTGTCACCCCCAGGCCTGCGCTTATGGAGGACGGAGGTCGTTCTGCGACCTCCGGCGCCTGAGTCGCCTGCGCTGCCTGGCCCGTGCCCGGGCCTGGCGGGCCGGGAGAGTTCTAAACCTCTCCCGGTCCCGCTCCGCCGTCTCCTTCGCGAGCATAACTTGCTCGCAGAAGGAGACGGCAGAGTTCCACGCACTCTCGCTCCGCACGATAGCCGCAATCAGGCTATCGAGCGAGAGAACTCCCACTCCGATGGCCGCCACGAGGTCTCGCCTCTGCTCAACCCACGCCGGGCACTCTGCCAGCGTGTGGAGAGCCGTGTCCACGGTCTGGCCATCGCAGTGGTGGCACTCAGGCGTTGGCTCCTTGCGGATCAGACACAGGTGATCTCCGAAACATCCCTTCCCAGTGATCACCTGCGTCAATAGGTATGAGAGGGTCCCGTGACGCCTCTCGAGCCAATCCTCCATAACGGGTCTTACCGCCGCAATGACGGCGTGCCCGGCGCTCGGTTGCCCGAGTCGTTCCCTCCACTCCCCTATGATGACCTGGCGGAGTTGGGATTTCCGGTCATCGATTTCTCGAATCTCGGGGCATCGACCCAACTCCTACGCCTCCTTGCGCCACTGATACAGAGCCGCAAGAGCTCTCGCCTCCAGGTCCCACGGTGGAGTTCCGGCCAGGAGACTCGCCGCCTCAAAGGAGATCGTGCGGTACCCCCTTATGATCCTGATGACCAGCATTCGCTGCGGTCGTCGCAGTATCGCGACGTTGCTGGCCTTCAGGGCCCCCGCCCATACTGGGCACCCGTAAAGGGCCATGGACCGCACAACCCCCGAGTAGAGTCTAAGGCAGAAGTCATCGGGTCCCTTCATGTTGGGCAGCAGCCGCGCCAACGCACGCGCTGCCCCAACCAACTTGGGGACCAGACCTCGGAAATGATATCCGAAGTCCCATCGGCCATCGAGTACGAGCCCCAGATACCTGATCGAGGGCTCGATGCCGATGCGAGTGCCTCCTACCGTGAGGCTAGATCCCTCAGGCGGCTTCCTCCGAAGCCCGTGGAAGAACAGGGCCTCGGACTTGTGCAGAGCCACCTCGAGACCCAGCCGCCGGATACGCTCAACGACTTGGGCAACCCCGGCCGTGGCCCACAGGGTTGCCTCGTGGTGCGTCTTGCCGCGCGCCGTCACGAGTGTGTCGTCCGCGTAGCACACGACGGCGACACCATCCAAGAAGGCACCACGAAGCACCCAGTCGTAGCCGATGTTCCACAAGAGTGGCCCTAACACCGACCCCTGCGGAACACCGCACGACATTTCACGCCTACCGAGACCGGTCCTACTGGGGTAGACGACGGCTCTCTCC